CTTATTTACTCCATTGTTGTCTTGACTTTTATTAATAGGCTGTCCCTTTGCTGCATAAGCCCTTAGAGTTTTTATTTGTTATTTACTTGTGCACACGTTGTGATTTGGGGGGTTTTGGGATGCAATGAGGTGATCATTTTTTATACTCTCTTTCCCATGGACAAAGTGTGTCGCCAACGTGTTACCCATCTTGTTTTACTTTTTTCTTTTTTTTTGTTTCTCATGTAGATGGAAAGATTTGCATCAAACGCGCATTGATCTCTGTCATGTAATAGTGAGATCGGCATTGCAATTTTTTTTTTTATTTGATAATTAAGCGGAAATGACAAGTTCCTAACTTTTGGAAATAATCAATTTTTTAATCATCATTCCCAAAGTAAAAGGAAGATTTTATATTAGAGCCGAGGTTTGAGCCTACATAAAAAATTTCACTAGACTATATTGTGTTGATGCCCAAAAATCCTCAAATTCATCATCTTGATATCAAGATGCATGGTCATGATAAAAAAATGGATTTCAAGTTTTAGAAATAGTGTATTTTGTGACGCACTTTTGGACCGTCAAATTTTAAGATTTTCAGATTTTCATAGATCTCTCGATCTACATTATTTTTTAAGCTTTGAACTTTATAAATAACGATGAAAATATATTTTGAGGCTATCAAAAAGATTTCCTGTATTGAAACCATATTTCTTGACACTATTTTAAGGGAGGCCCTAATTTGATTGTTTATACAAACCGCACCCAAAGTAAAAGCATTCTACCACTTAAAGCCACAGGGTTTTGAAACCTATAGGCCCTCACCCTTATGGAAAATATATAAAGCCTCATCTTGAAACCTTGTTCGAGCAAAACATTGGGCATGGGAAATCTCTATGATGACTTTAAAGCAATTTACATCATTAATTATGAAATTTGTAATTTAAAAATTGATACAGTGGATCTGTGAATACTTGGAAAAAGACAATCTTAATAATTTTTATTTGGGGATTGAATCCTTTTTTTTCCCACAAACATAATGATCAAGGTTGAGATGACCGAATTGAAAGATTTTCGATGCTAGAATTATTTCCAAAAACCAATATCAATTGACGTTGTTGGTTTAAAGGTGTTAGAAGCAACAACTTCCAAATAGTTCTTCCACTCCCGTATAAAAAAAATACAATAGTGTTGTACTTGGTACAACAAACCAGGATACCTGATGTTACCCAATTTAATCATTTAATGCTTATGAGATACGTCCACCGGGAAGGTTTGGATCGAAGGTTGGCTTTTACTTACACGGTGCATGTGCCAAAATGCCTGCACGTGCCAAAATGCCAGTGATGCAGGCATGTATTTTGCTAAGGTATTTAGTAGGTGCATGTGCCAAAATGCCTGCACGTGCCAAAATGCCAGTGATGCAGGCATGTATTTTGCTAAGGTATTTAGTAGGGGATTTTAGCAAGTATTTATAATTCTTGGCATAGGTAGGGGATTTTAGCAAGTATTTATAATTCTTGGAATAGGTAGGGAATTTTAGCAAGTATTTATAATTCTTGGCACGTGCCAAAATGCCAATAGTGCAGCATGTATGGCCACATTTGTTTGTGCTTCTTGGCACATGGCAACACGCCAAGGATGCGACATGCAAGTTCCACATTTGTTCATACTTCTCGACAAATATCACACATCCAAAATTAGCACAAATATATGTTAGCCTTTTTTTGGAATATCATTAATATTAATTTATGCATAAAAATCCCTTCCCTATTTTTCCCTATTTTGAGTGGCCTACACTTACTCGAATTTAGAAATTAAGTTCAGAAATTTGAACAAGGTGCCTATCCGTTTATATAATGTGCCAACCCTAAACAATTGAAGAAAGGCGTACCTTTAAATCTTACTAAAAGGTGCAGTTGTAGTGTCGGAACCTCTTATGATAGCTTAAAAATCTATTTTCATCCTAATTATAAAATCTAAGCTCGAAAATGATGCACATTGAGCTGACGTGTAAACATTTAAAAATATGAAAATAGATAGTCCAAATAATTGTCTTACAAGATGCAATATTTTTAAGGCTAAATCTTTTTTTTCATAATCACACATCTCGACTAGGGCTTTCTAAAGGCCTAGTCGGGGACGGGCCGGAAAAAAGAAAAAAACAAAACAAAAGAAAATAAAACAAAGGGTCGGCTGCCCAGGCACCATCGGCGCCATCCACATGCCACAATTTGTGGCCCAAGCCTTAGTCTTGCATGGCCGGGCCGGGCCGGGCCGGTCCAGGGCACCCAGCCGTTGCCGGCCCCAATCTCAAGGTGCGATGATTAATCGGATGGTTTCCGATATCCAAAATTTGTTTTGTGATGAAGTTTGAGGTGGACCGCTCTTCTATAATATAAAATTAAAATTGACACTGTTTATATAATATATTTTTCTAATTTAGGTACCCAAAAGGACATTCCATATATTGATTCATGAATATCATTATCTCATCAGATCGAGCTTGAGCCATGTGTAACATGTAAGGTCGGCCATCGTATGTACATTGAATGACCTAAACTGATTATGTCACTTCTTTTTTTTAGACAAGAAATTAAGTCACTTTATTCAGATGAACGGTACATCGAGGACATGTAACACATGGGTTTTGGAAGATGGTTCAAAGTTATAAGTTTGAGCCCGTATAATACGATCCATTGCGTCATAATGCACTCCTCACCAACCCATCAATGGATGGGTATAACAGGGGAATGGAACCCACCGAAATTATTATTAATTTAATTTGTACGTTCCCATTCTCAGATCATCACCATTCAACCGAAGTGGTACGCAATATTATCATTTGTTATTTTGTTCACAGTTGAATTCACTACCCATCTGAGAATAGATCTACCTCTGATTCGCTCTAAACTTAGTTAAACAAAGTGCGGGGTTGTGTCAAGTTCGAATCCAAAAATGATCCAACCTCATAGACAGATCTGGCCCTCTAAGAATGGTCAACAACGCTAACTGTAAAATGCATCAAAATCACAAAACTTCAAAATAACCATGCTAAACTGAATAAAATGCATGAAATTCTTAAACATGAAATAAAACAAAACAAAATAGTCGTTTTTACTGAAAGCCGGAACAATTCTGCAGTCGAAGCTTGATCATATCAGAATAAATGAACTCATCAAACTTTTAGGTTTTGTTGTTGAAATGGAAATTCCTATTGATCTAAGTTTTAGGCCATAGAAATGAACTATACCTAAGCTTTAATGGTCATGGATAACTATGGGTTGCGGGGAATTATTATGTTTTACTCCTAAGACTAGGATTGCATTACTAGGGTTAGGGTTCTTAGACTCCTAGATTTTATGATGAATGATCTTTAAAATTAGGAATTATTTAGGAATGGAAATTAGGGTTTCGCAATGTGATCCTTTTGACAAAGGTCTATTTATAGACAAATGAACGCAAAACGGGAAGGTTGTTGTTTTCAGCCAATCTAGGGCTGCCACGTGTCAGCGATGCAGTGCGCATCGTTGAGGCATCTACATCCTGCGACGTGCCCTGTGCTACTGACAATTATTGAAAGTTGGATAAGGTGAACTAGCACGGTATATATGGTTTAAATTTTTTCTGTTTTCTATCGGCGAGAACACTTATAGAAGTCCAAATATTATAAAATAAACTTGACAGAGATAAGGAAGAATAACAAAATGGATTCTCATTTATTGCCATGTAATACAACTCTTTTATGTGGATAACAAAAAATATATAAGGCTCAGTAGGGAACAAAAAAACATAAATTGCATAACATAAAATAAAATGTTAGAATATTACCTCAACTAGCTTGATCCACCCCACTCCGGGGTCTCCTCCTTTAATGGCGCACAGGATCAAGATCTATCTCAGATCTTATAAGTGATTGAAGCCTAAGCTTGGAACCTTTTGCCACATAGAGCAATATGGAACAAAATCTGGGCCTTAGTCTTATGTGTGGGGCGTGCCCACTTCTGGGGTCATAGGGTTGGGGCGTGGCACTTTTTAGAATTATCTAAACTATAAGAATTTCTAATATAAAGTGGGGATTTGTCAAATTATGGTCCACAAAAAGTCCATCCATATGGCATTTTTTCTGTGGACCACTGGTTATGCTGACTAGGATTCTATCAAAATCATTTTAAAATTTAATAAAATAAATAAAAAGTCACATATTGTGGACCACTAGTTGTGCCGACTAGGATTTTATCAAAATCATTTTAAAGTATAACAAAATCAATAAAAAGTCACATATTAAAGACTTAGGAGGAAGAAGATTTGAAAAATAAAAGAGAACACTTGAAAATAAAGGAAAATAAAGATGGACTCACCCAGGTTGAGCCTAAATATGACTAAATGCTCGGGGGCCTACTTTTCTTTGATCTTGAAGCTTGCCTGAACATAGTTAACTGTACTAAAAATGAAGTTGAGTGAAAAAGATTGGAATAAAAAGGTGTAAGAAAATTACGGCCTATGGCTATGGCTTTCTATGGTTTTCTCTAAGGCTCACCATAGCTTGATATCAAAAGGGGATTAAGGTGATTAGGGCTCTACTGGTTTAGGTTATGATCCTATTTGGCTTGCCCTGAAGCCTAACGAGAATATGCTAGAAAATCTAAAGACGCATATTGTGAAGAGAAATAACTACCATATGCTTTAAAAAAAAACAAGTAAATACCTATTTGTGGTTTTTTTTTAACTTTTTGTGAAGAAATGTGTACTTTTTTATTGAGTGGTACAACAAAGGTATATATAACATTATACAAGAACAATTGGATAAGAGACCTTGACTGAGTAAATCAAGGATATGGTTACAGTCAATATTTACACCAAATCAAGATAAGTCAAAGATATCTTAACCACTCAAGAATCTTTTTCAAATGCTCTTTCTTTCAACACTCTCTCGCAAGATGAGTGTGTGATTGTGCGGACGGTCAACTTGTCTTTTAGAGAATGAAAAAGGAGTACGAAATAGGTATTTGGTGAATATATCAACGATTTGTGCAAAGCTGGGAACAAACCAAACACATAATGATCCACGAGCAACACATTCTCGAATGAAGTGATAATATATCAATATGTTTAGTGCAGCCGTGAAGTACCGGATTGAATGCTAAATATGTGGCACTGACTTTATCAAATTGAATCACAGGGGAAGATGGTAAAAAGATATGCAACGTGTAAAGAAGAAAGAGGATCCATCGAATATCTGCAATTGTAGTAGTACGAGCATGATACTCTGCTTCAGCACGAGACCGAGATATTATAGGTTGCTTCTTAGCATTCCAAGTCAATAGATTCAGTCCAACGAATACACAAATGGCAGAAATAGAACGAGAACTATCCAGGCAGCCAACCCCATATGCATCAGAGTAAGCTTGAAGTGTCTCATCAGAATAACGTTGTATAGTGATGCCAAGATTAGGAGTCCCTTTGATATAATGAAAAATTCGTTTAACCGCAATGAGGTGTTTAGTACGAGGTTGGTGCATGAGTTGGCATACCTGATTAACTGCATGAGTAATATCAGATAGAGTCATTGTAAGGTATTGCAAGGCACCGACAATGCTGCGGTAAGTTGAGGCATCACTAAGAGGATCACCAATATAGAGAGAAAGCTTGGAATCATAAGTGATAGGAGAGGAGCAAGGCTTCTCACCAAGCATTGTTGACCGTTTAAAGAGATTGAGTGCATATTTGCTTTGGCTTAGCTCAATGCCAGACGAAGAGCAATGAGCCTCTATGCTAAGAAAGAAATGGAGATCACCCGAATCTTTAACATCAAACCTGTTGTGGAGCTTAGCAATAACAGTAGATAAAAAACAAGAATCGGCCCCACTTAGTATTATGCATCAATAAATAAGAGGAGTATAGTGAGTCCATAGGAGCCATGATGAATGAACATGGATGTGTTAGATAAGTTGCGCAAGTAATCAAGCTCTAATAGATAATAGCTAAAACCAATAAACTATGCACGAGGGGCCTGTTTGAGACCATAAATATCTTTATGCAGACGACATACATGGTTAGGGTAGTTCTTGTCAACAAATCCCAGAGGTTGATGCATAAAGACAACTTCATGGAGTGTACCATGTAAGAACGCATTTTTGACATTAAGTTGTTTAATGTGCCACCCATGATTAACTGCAATGGAGAGGACCAGTCATATTGTAAGAGGTTTAACCGCAAGATTGAACGTTTCAACATAATCCAAGCCATATCATGGATTAAAACCTTTAGCAACTACGCGAGCTTTATAATGCTCAATCGATCCATCAACCCACTGTTTTAGTTTATAAACCCATTTGCAACCAACTATATTAAGAGCTGATGAGGTAGGAACCAATGACCATGTGTTGTTCTTTAAAATACACTAAACTCATCAACCATAGCGGCTCTCCAATTGGGACGTTTGGTGGCATTGGAATTACATGTGGGTTCAATAGGTTGGGCTGAAGCAAGAGAGATTTGAAGACAAGTGAGAAGAGGATGTCGAGAAGCGAGATAGTTAAAAGGAACTTTTGGTCAGTGGGTCTCATCTCTAGTGCGAGTAATCATATGATGAATGGAAGTAGAAGAAAGAGAAGGGCCAAAGGAGGCTGATCGTATGGAAGACTCAATTGATGAAGGCAAGGCCAAGCTTGATTCAGGAGAGGAACACATGGTCGGTGAAGAGAGACTCTGAAGAACATTTTGTAATAGAGTGGGCACTTAAGAGAGAGGTGCAACAGTGTTGAAGGAGGGAAAAAGCATCATGTGGTGAGGAGTATGCAAGGAGGTGGATAGAGCCATTAGTCAAGAGGATCACTGTTAGTGGACTGGTCTCCTAATGACGAGATTGCAAAAGGATAAAGAGATTCATTAAAGCGAACATATCGGGAAAGATAACTGTGACCAGTGACCAGATCAAGACACATGTACGCTTTATGTTGGGACCGGCGCCAAAAACACACAAGGAACATATTTAGGCTCTAATTTATCATAGCGATAAGAGACAATAAATGAATAGCATCGACACCCAAAGCTGGGCAAAATATTATAGTCAGGTGGAGTACTAAATAAAGCTTCATTTGGAGACTTGTACCCCAAAGTCGGAGTTGGCAAATGATTTATTAAAAAAACAATTGTGTAGAAGGCCTCCATCCAAAAATGTCAAGGCCTGTAAGCATGGTGGAGGAAAGTAAGACTAGTCTCAATGATATGGCGGTGATTGCGCTTTGCAACTCCAGTTTTTCCAGGAGTATGAGGGCAAGACAATCACTATTGAATACCAGAATTTGACAATAATTGCAAGAATAATTTATTAACATACTCACGCAACCATTAGACTGAACAAACTTGATTTTATTAGCGAACAAGTTTTTAAAATTTGGAAATAGTCAAAAGTCTCAGATTTTTGCTTTAGAAGGAAAATTCAAGTGTATTATGAATAATCATCCACAAATATCAAGTAATATCTATAAGCCCCACAAGAAATCTCTAGAGCTCCTCACACATCCGTATGAATTAAGTGCAAAGCAGTAGGAGATAGAGATAGAAAGATGAAATTTCAACCGACAGCTTTTATTAACACCACAATCCAAACAATCTATTAAAGTTCATCTATTAATCACAAAGAGGCACTTATTTTTTAGAAGAAAATCTAGAATGCGAGAGCCAAGATAACCCAAATGTTTATGCCAAATATCAACTACAGAAATCTTTTGAACCAATGCAGCAAAACTGTGATGTATGTTGGAGTGGTGTTTCACACTACTTGTAGCTTTGATTGGGAAGAGCTCATATTGAGTTGGTCATTTGTGCAAAATCTTCCCTGTGTGCTGATCCTTAATACAAAATCCAGAAGGATGAAATATAAATGCGCAGTCATTGTCTTTAATAAACTGTGATCTAGAGATAAGGTTTGCTTGAAGATGTGGTACATGTAAAATACATCTTAAAAGAAACTTGATAACAGAGTATGAGGGTATGCAGTACCTCTACTGCTGCTAGGAAGAGTGTTACCATGTACCACCACAATAAGTCCTTGACCGTTATAAGGAAATTGATGTGTGATGCTACTAGCATCTGCTATCATGTGGTTGGTTGCTCTTGTGTCAAGGTACCCAGTGGAATCATAAGGATCTGTAGAGAGGTTCATGGCAGAGAAAACTTCTGGCAGATCATCACACTGATATATTGTGGCGCTGCCGACAATGCAAGGCATTATGACCAGCCTTGTCACATATCTGATAGATAATAGGTGAGCATTCTGGAGGGGCAGGTGTACCACAAGTATTGAGGGCAAATGTCCCATGACCATGAGGGGCATGAGACGAACGACCTAGACGAGTCTGAGTATCATGTCCTCAACCACCTCCTCGACCATGACCACGACCTTGATTCCAATGACCACAACCACAGTAGGTAAAAAAAGCAGATCCAATATTTTCATTGGTCAAACAATAACATTGTTCTAACTGCTTCTCACGATTAAGAAGCATGTTATAGGAGCTTCAAAAGAGGGTAGCTCAAGGCCTGCCATGTATTACAAGCAGTAAAGTACACAACCACTCGACCGAAGATTGCTGGAGTAAGAGTTGCATGAAGCCAACTAAGAAGCAATTGATCTCTTTTCTTCCAAGCAATATATGCAGGACTTAGAGAGTGCATTTTTTCACTCGATTTATTGACGGTCTCAATATACTCCTTTGGAGGAACGGAAGTTCCACCTACAAGGAAAAGCATAGCAGTGTTGTAAAGTATTGGTAGCAGTTGACTCTTCCACATCAGATAGTTTTTACGATCTAATTTGATCATGACTTGAGAGAAATAAGGTAGACTGGGCACAGATAGTGCGATAGCTTCAGTCTTTGATGCCAACGCAGAAGAGAGAATGGAGCCTGATCTGATTTATGAGGGCTAAATCAAGTGTGCCATGAGAAGATACGAACTCTCTTACCTTGTTATGAGAAGAAGTAGTCTCAAAATGATTGAAAAGTCAATAAGACAAAAAAAAGAAGAAGGAAAAGGTTAAACCCCAAGGGTATTTCTTTGTGTCTTGACTCGGGAGCTATGACTCATGTCACAAACACCAAGGATAGCTTCCGGTCCTTTACTCCCATGGGGTCGAGTATGCAACATGTCTATATGGGAGGGAACCAAAAGACCAACATTCTAGGACTTAGGAATTATGAGCTGAAATTGAAGAGTAGAAGTGCCTTGATCCTAAAGCAAGCACTTTATGCTTCCGATGTGATGAAGTGTTTGGTTTCGGTTCCCAAGGTGGCTAGAGTGGGTTTTGTCACCACCTTTGTTGGAGATAAGGTGGTAGTCAAGGAAGTGCTTGGACGATCTTTATGCTATTGAAATGAATGAAAGTGTTGCTTATGTATCGTCCCCAAATAGTTTAGATGCCACCCTATGACATATACGGTTAGTATATACAAACTTCAAAAGATTGGAAAGATTAAAAAATGATGTGATTCTTCAAAATTATGAGGGAGATTTATCAAAAGTGCGTGAGTTTTGCGTACAAAGAAAAATAACAAGAAAAAATACTACCGGGGCAAAAAAAGCTACTAACATATTAAAAATCATTCATAGTGACTTATGTGGTCCTATGAATGTGGCCACCAAAAGTTACAAAAGATATTTCATCACCTTTATAGATGACCACTCGCAATATGGTCATGTGTACCTAATGCACACAAAATTCGAAGCCTTAGAAAGGTTTAAGGAGTATAAAGCCAAGGTAGAAAACCAAACAAACTTGAGAATCAAAGTCCTAAGAACTGATAGAGGAGGGGAATGCTCATTCGAGCTTTTTAAAGACCTATGTGTAGAAAATGGAATTATCCATCAATACTCTATGCCATACACCCCGTAACAAAATTGTGTAACCGAGAGAAAGAATAAGAACTTGGTTGAAATGGTAAGGAGTATAATGGGGCATGTTATACTTTTTCTTGAATTTTGGGGAGAAGTCGTGTCAACAACATGTTATCTCTTTTATATCAGACTCCCACAAAAACCGCCCCACTTTCTCCTCACGAAATATTCACTGGTCGTACTTCTTCCGTTGACCACCTAAGTGTATGGGGATGCTCAGCCCATGTCCTAATCCCATACCAAAACATGACTAAACTTCAACCCAAAATTGTAAAATCAATATTCTTGGCTATCCTGACCATGGTAAGGGGTATCAATTCTACAAACTTGAAACAAAGGTTGTTATTGAAAACTGCAATGCTCACTTCTTCAAGGAAAATTTCCTTGAAGCAAGATTGACTCACAAACAAGCCGACCTCTTTAAGGAGGCAAGAGATAATGGTGCGTTTCGAGAACCCGAATCTGAAACCTCCAATCAACTTGAGCTTGATGGTTGGGCCCGATTTCTCGTTGTCCCAGGTCGGTCCGATATGGATGACCTAGTTAGAGGAATCCTCTCTCGAACAACCACGGGGCCCACTTGCGTGTGTGTGTGTGACGTGTGGATAGGAACCAACAAAGGGAGAGATTTTAATTCAACAAAGAAGGGCTCGAGCACCTACCTCGCCATTTTGCGTTCGAGGGAGGCATCTGGGCGATTCACCTTTCTAGATCATTTTGAAAGCCCTCCGTCTATCCTTGCAACGCTGTTTGAATTCAGCTGCCGCGCTTCACTGCACAACACTTGGATACACATACTAAAAATGGCCTTCAAGGTATACCTTTTGAGATCTCCTCTAATTTATAGTTGTATGGTAGATTGAGAGTCTAGTTTAAGGGTTAAAGGGGGTTGAGAGTGGATAGAGAAGAAGAAGTAGAGAAGAAAAATGAGGAAACTGACCTAGAAATTGAACAGCCTTTCGGCGTCACCTCTCCTAAGAGGTATTACCAGAGTCAAGAAAGATACTGAGTTTGGAGATTACAAGTATCACAGGGGATTTAGGAGAGTGTGGTCCGTAGTTCTAGACTATTGGGAGCTCACTTTCGCAAAGGGAGAGTGTGGTATGTAGATCTAGACTATCGCGAGCTCACTTCAATAGGGGTCCCCTAATGAGTAACTAAGAAGAAGATGAGCAGATAAATAAGAGATGTTACGAGAGAGGAGCGAGAATATAAGAAAGAGAAGGCCTCTAAAAACTCAGACATCATTCCGACATCCCCTTTCTAAGGAAGTAACCAGGAACGTAAGGTCTATAGACTTTGAGACCAAAGTCAAAAGCACTCCAGAGGATTCTAAAGAGTGAGGCCTGTAGTTCTAGACTATTGAGAAATCACTTCTGAAACTGAAGAGTAAAGTTTGCAGTTTTAGACTATCACAAAATCACTTCCTAAGAGCCTCGCAAGTGCTGTCAGAGTTTAGAAAGATAGAGTATGAGAGAAGTAGATTTATAAGAGATGAGAGAGAGAAGCGAAATGTAAGAAAAAGTAGAAAGTGAAGAGAGAATGAAGAAGAATATAAGAAGAGAGTGTATAAGAAAGAAGAGAGTGAAAAGGAGTGAAAGAGATAGAAATCTCTCACGTGGTTAGAGTAGTTCAATGGTTAAAACTCTAAGAAAACCTTCTCAGGAGGACCCCAGCCTGAGTGATTGAGCACAAGAGAATATGTGTCTCTAATGACTCAAAACATTAAGTGAACTGATGGTTAAAGCAATAACCTGAGAGTTAGAACCCTAAGAAGCTACTTCCGGAGGACCCCTGCTCGAGTGATAAAGGGTGAGAGAAGAGATGAGTGAAGAAGTGATAAAACAAAATGAGATGAATGAGGGTATGAGTTAAAGAGAGAGAGTAAGAGGAATTAAAGGGGTAAAGGGATAATGGACCCGCCTATGGCACGGGTCCGTACATCTTGGAGGGAAGTAGAGGTGAGAGAGGATGAGAGATGATGAGAGAAGAGGGGACCCACCTATGGTACGGGTCTGTGCACTTTGGGGGAGATGGGAGTGAGAGAGTAGAAGAGAGAATAGAGGGGGAGAGCCGGATTCGCCTAGGGCACCGGTTCGTGCTTTTGGGAGAGAGAGTAGAGAAACAAAGTAAAGGAAAGACAGAGAGGGAGGGGCGGAACCGCCTAGGGCACCTGTCTGTGACCTGGATGAGAGGGGAGAGAGAGTAAGAGAGAAATGGATAGGGAGAAGCCAGGCCCGCCCTAAGTGCGGGTCTATCGGAGAGAGAGAGTGAGAGAGAGAGAGAGAGAGGGAGAGAAAGAGAAGTGAGAAAGAGGCTCAGACCTACCCTGGGTTCAAGTGGAAGAAAGAGAGAGAAAAACCAAAAAGAGAGAGAACAAGAAGATAAAGAAGAGAGAAAACAGAAGAGAGAGAGGAAGAAGAGACTCAGGATTTGGGCAGCCTTTCAGCGTAACCTATCCTAAGAGGTATTACTTGAGACAAACGAAGGTACTAAGCTCAAAGCATTAGTACCCGGAGGGTTTTAGAAGCAAAGTCGTGGGCTTAGCCCATCGAAAAGTCACTAACTCAAAGAGCCTCCTTTTTTAAATGAACAAGAGAGAGAAGAGGAAAAAAAAGAATGAAGAGGAATAAATAGAAGAGCGAGAGTGGACCTAGGCCGGCTTGGATTTGGATGCGCCTTTGAGGGTCCATTTTGAGCACTCCTTAGAGAGATGTTTTGACCTTTGGGGTTAAGGTTGGGGTCTAGGTCTAAGATGAATGGGCCTAAGTGTAGGGCAGTGTATGAGATATGGTGCATGATGATCTAAGGTGAGGTGTGTGGTGTAGGGAGTAGGAAGTTGTGAAGCCTAGGGAGTAGGAAGTTTGAGGTTCTAGGTAAAGGGACTTTGAGGTTTTGGGGAGTTGGGAGTATTGGTTTGGAAATTGGGAGTAGGAGGTTTGGAAGTTGGGAATTGAAAGTCGGAGGTTTGGTAGTTGCGAATTGGAAGTTGGGAGTTGGAAGTGGAGGGTTTGGAAGTTGGGAGTTGGGAGTGGGAGGTCCAAGAGCAATTATCCAAAGCGGTAAAGTTTTCTCTCTTAAAGTTAGAAGCTATGGACAATCAAAGGCTTGAAGGCGCAAAAACCCAAATTTTTTTTGTGCTTCAAAACTTAGGTTTATAAATGACTTAAGTTTCTTATATAGAGCAACCCCAAAACAAGGGTGGATTGCTAAAAAAACAACAAAAATTGTCAAAAAATACACATTTTATTGATTAAAATATTAATCCCGTTTTCGGACCAAATGACTAAAATAACCCTAAGAACTTTTCAATAAATGACAAAACCATCCCTCCAT